AGAGAGAGAGAGAGAGAGAGAGAGAGAGAGAGGCAGTAAGGGCGGGGGGGGCACAGGAGAGGACGAGAGGAAGGGAAGAGACAACAAAAGAGCTTCCATCTGTATTTTCCAGTCATAGCATCCTGGGCCCACTCGCATCTACGATAGCCACAAACCACGCACAATAATCCATCCCGATCCATCTCATTCGAATCGACGGTGCATCGACGGGTCCAGCTATGGGTAAATGAGTTCCTTCAGAGACGCCACGCGACCGCACACAGGCCTTCCAAGTGAACGTCCAGCTCGAGAGTCTAACGTGCATGCACAGTCCGAGAGTCCAACGTGCATGCACAGTCCGAGAGTCCAACGTGCATGCACGTAGACATGGCTTTGCACGCGAGGCCCTCAAATTGAACGTCAAGCTAGCGCGCTTAACCTACGTAGTACGTACAAATGAACGTGGCTATGTGCGGAACGCGAGAATGGACATCCGCGTGACTCGCAAACCACCATACAACGCGCATACTGTGTCACTGTGTCAGTATGCAAACCAGAACCTCAGGGAAAATTCTCAGAGGTGTTCTTCGCGAAGAAGACGTGTGGAGGAGAGCTGGGGGACGGATCCACAGGCTGGGGCGATCTGTCACACAGTCGGATGAGAGCAACTGTCGCGCCTACAGGAAAGGGCACCGCACATGAGCGACGACAGTCACGACACCGTATATTAATCGATTCAGCGTCACACAACCCGCCTACCCGCAGTTCTTACACTTCGTAATTCCAACCCCAACCAGGATCACCGACGACTCGGAAGCGAAAATGTGAAACCAAGTACATGCCAAAATAGAGCCAAAGAGACGGACGCAACGAGCGGCCAGGTCCCGCTCCCCAGTCTCGTGTTAATAATGTTATCAATGTCGTCTGACGAGTCTAGTGTCTGCCACCCTCGGGATCATTCGACCACCACCTCCGTTTTCGCTATCCCCCTTCCGATCAGTCGCCTAACCGAGGTAGCCTCAGCTCTATCTCTCTCTCTCTCTCCCCCTGCCGACCATGATCATTCACCGAACTGGGCTAGCCTTTTCTCCATCTCCCCCTCAGTCATTCTTGCCGCACGCCATATCTGCTGACCTCTCTACCCTGACACAATTGACAAACTTAATAAAAAGCCGTAAAAATTCAGCCGGAAACGTAGAATAATTTACATAAATCAGAAACGTACAACATTGTTCCGCATTGCGTGTGCGAACACTAACGCCAGCAAAAACATACGAAGTCCTCGTTCCACTACTCGCCTAACTGCGACATAGCCAATGTCGCCTAAGTTGCGGCAGAACATGGCAACGTCAGTCCCAGTGCCCACCTACTCCACTTGGTGTGATCAAACGCTGACCGAAGTAATAATTCTGTCGTTAACGAACGTCTTACTAGTACCAGTTGCATGCTCACGCTGTGAAATCTGGGATCGATTACGTACCGCTGAAGGATTCTATTCGCCAACCCAAACTCATAACACGGGCCATAGCTTAGACTACTCCATTTGGTGAGAGCAAACGCTGCCTGAAGTAATAATTCTTACTAGTACCACTTGCATGCTCACGCTGTGAAATCTGGGAAGCAGTTCAAATCAGTAATGCTGTCGATCACGTACCGCTGAAGGATTCTATTCGCCAACCCAAAATCATAACACGAGGCATAGCTTAGACCAATTCAGGAAATCGAAGGCAGGTTCCTGCCACTTGAGCGAATGCCTAGGAAATGCACATAACACAGAGCGGTGCTCACAATCTGCCTACAACACCTCTCTCTCTCTCTCTCTCTCTCTCTCTCTCTCTCTCTCTCTCTCTCTCTCACACACACACACACACACACACACACACAGACAGTAGTAACAAATAATATAAATTTAAGGAAAGGAACGAAGACGTCGAAGAGTGAGATGAGTGAGACAACGAAGCGTTAATAATATAAATTGAAGGGAAGAAACAAGTCGAAGAGTGAGATGAGGAAGACAGCGAAGCCTCGGTAAACGGCTTAGGGCCACATCAGCCACAATCGGGAACACTTTCGATCTCCACTCTTTTTCGCGTCTCGCATGCACACACCGACACTATTCCGTGCGATATTCCCTGCAACGGTTACTTATAGACTATCATGATGTAGCCATGAGACGTACAACACCTACATACGTGTCCGTCAACACACATATCGTCCTAATCACAACCAATCCAACGGTTCAGCATGCAGTCATCGTCTTATATGTACGACCATTTCGGCAGTAGGATAACAAAAACACCGCAGCCACTCAAGTACCATATCAATCATTGACAACCGACTAATCAAACAAATCAGACATCAAATCCAACAAATCAGGCCAGCAAACCAGTCATTCATATCATCCTTTCACTGCGGCCGTTGCATTCACTTGACAAGGGTGTAAGTGTTAGATTGCCATGATGTGTACCTGTCTTGCCCGCAGCTCCAGCCTGCATTCATTGCCGAAAGAATCTCTGCAGTTGTTGAGAGGATCCGACGCCATCTCCATGCGCCACACACGCACCTTCCTCCTTCGCTCTACGAACCCGACTTGTCCAGGGGAGGTGGACGGGATCCCGTGCGAAAGGCCGGCGCCGACGAGGTCTTGCAAACTCTTCGCTCTGCGAAGAGGGCACGTCGGATACTTCTTGGTCGCTCGTCGAGTTGTCGAGAGCGAGAGATCTCCAACACCGGCGATGGCGGAGGAAGCCGCAGCAGCGGAGACATCATCGACTGCGAAACTACACTGATTGGCGGATGGGAGGCTGTTCGTTCGCCTCAGCGCGCCAACCGTTGATGGCCCAGCCGGGGAGACACATGCCGAAGTACAACGACCGCTGGGTTCCGCCAGAAGCACGGCCCCGCAGGAGGCCATGGACGAAGATGCCGCCCGATTACTGCCGCCGCGTTGCTGCTGCTGCTGTTTCCCTGAGGACGTGCGCGTCAACGACGAGCTCTGCGACACCCCGCCTCCGCCACCCGCTAGCCCTTCCCACGACACAGATCTTGCCAGCGTCGTGGACCCTTCCCGCACCGCCACGGAGCACGCCATCTCTCTCTCTCTCTCTCTCTCTCTCTCTCTCTCTCTCTCTCTCTCTCTCTCTGTGTCTGTGTGTAGCTCTTTCGCTCTCTGTGTAGCTCTCTCTCGCTCTCTTTCTATCTCTCTCTCTCCCTCTCTCCCTCTCGCCCTCTCTCTGTGAGTGTGGTTTTCTGGTACAATTCCCCTGTCCCGCGCTGCTTCTCGTTCCCTTGATGAATCTTCTCTTCAAGCTGGTAAGTAAACCTGCACGAATGTGAATCGCTCAGCCGTCTGCTACCCCGCCATTTCTGTGTGAAAATACCCAAGCCAGCACCCGCAGCTGGCAATCAGACACATGCTGAGATTCCACGCTACAAGAACCGCTGCCTCGGTAATGCCGTAATCGTCACCGTGCCGCTATATATCTTGGCTGATTTGCCCACGCCGAAAGGTCCGATGCACCCCGCGATCGGTTCCCCCTCGGACCTATCAGCCCGTCGACAGAATTTATATACTGCGCTACCGCTCTCCTACTGCTGTGCTATCTCTGTGCTATCATGTCATGTGCCCCTGAAGTGGGATTTGCCTCTGCCTCACCGGTGTCATGTGCCCCTGAACGGCCTGAAGTGGGATTTGCCTCTGCCTCACCGCTGTCATGTGCCCCTGAAGTGGGATTTGCCTCTGCCTCACCGGTGTCATGTGCCCCTGAAGTGGGAATTTGCCTCTGCCTCAGCGGACACTGTGGACACAGGTACCTCTGCCTCAGCGGACACTGTGGACACAGGTACGAGATGGCTTCCGACTAAAGCGAGTGACGAAACATCGTCCCAAAGCTAATGAGCATCGCAAGAATTGCAACAACAACAACAAAAAAAAAAAAAAAAAAAAAAAAAAAAAAAAAAAAAAAAAAACATTCATGACGACCGGCCGGCGTCCCGTCAAGGCCACCCACCTTTCCATCTAATATTGACCACCCATTCCATTCTAAGAGCATACTCACACTAGCGCTTTTTTTACTTATTTGTGGACGGAATTGAGGCCAGATGCATACAGGTCCAGCCGCAAATGCAGTCAGATTACCTTTACGATAGTGCTAGTATACTGCTGTGAGTACGCCCTCAGTATATTGACCCAGCTGAACGATCGCGCCAATCGCCTGGTCTCCCGAGGGCTTGGCCCACGTTTCTTCCCTCTTCCGAAATTCCAAAATTCCAAATCAGATGCAAGGAGATCCGCTTACCTGTTGCAAGGAGGCCCCCTCGACAGCGTGACACGACACGACATAGAAGTAGTAGAGAAGTAGAAAGAAAGGAAGGGGGACATGATCCCTCCGAACGAACGAACGAACGAAATAACGCAGCGCGAATACCGCTCTGCACTCCTTGACCCCATTCTCCCTCGGGCCTCAGCAACTCTTGGAAGCGGGAGCACCAAATGACTGGACCACCCAAAAAAAGGGAAGTGGACCACCAAAAGAAGCGGGTGCTTCTTTCTTCTTTTTTTTTTTTACACAATTGTAAAATTACGGCTTTATTTTTATTATCTGTATTATGTACTTGTTTTTTGCACAACATCTGAGTAACTGCCTGCCTCTATCTGGCACGTGCGAGCCCAGGGACGCGTAGTTCTTTTTTCTTTTTTTTTTGGGGGGGGAACGCGTAGTTCCGAAGCTAAACCTGACCGAATGTGTGGTCCAAGTACCATCGTACCCAACCGACAAGCTCAGTCCAACTTGCGTGAGGGCCCAAGGACCGCCGTCCAGTGGCGACTATGCCCCCCAACCGAGGGGCGCTTTCCTGAACGGGCTTCGCAGCCTACCGAGAACCCCAACAGCCATAGTCATCTCCAAAATGATGCCAGTCTGCAAAAAGAGGAGATTACCTGAAGGCTGATGCTGGCATCGAACTTCCCCTGGGACAGACCTTTTTCTCTGGGGTGAGGTCCCACTAGCAAAGAGGGTTAGATAAATGTCCAGAATCTGGACGTGTTTCAAGCACGGATGCGGAAAAGAAGTTCAATCTCGACATTCTGCACGTGTCCGCAAACTAGTCCAGATTCAGGTGTTCAATCCAATCCTCTTTGCTAGTGGGACCTCGCCCCTGGATGGTGACTTACTATGCAATAGTTCTTTTTTTGGTGGGATATCGAGCCGACCAGCCCCAGGTACACGGTTGTGGCTGCTACGGGGTTCCCCGTAATACTAAAATGAATGCTGGAAGGCCGTCCTGCCCAGATCTGACAGGTAACTGAACTGGTTGGGCTCAAAAGAATTAGCCTTTTTTTTTTTTTTTTCAAGGGATAGTGCAAAATACCCCCATAAGTTGAGATATACGCCAAAGTGCCCCTGAAAGATGTGGGTAGAGCTGAATGCCCTTTTGGGCTGAAATCATTGTATTCAATGTATTGTGCCCCTGTCAGGCGGGTGTGCAACTTTGCAATCTGGTCCTCCCCATTTGGGCCTTGGCCTTTTGGAATAGCACCTAGGAAAAGTTGGCGAGTACTGGGGCATTTTGCAATGTTGGATGGTACCCGGCAGGGGTATACTGCAAACATGGGGGTCCAACCAATGCCAGGGGAATGTCACAAAAAGGAAAAAAAGTCAGACGGGCACTCTGCTGAGTCTGCTCTACCCACATCTTCTAGGGGCCTTTTGGATTAGTCAACTTATGGGGGTATTTTGCAAATTATCCCTTATTTTAAATCAGGATTTAACTTTTTCTTTTCTTTTCTTTTTTCTTTTCTTTTTTGGCATCCCTCACAAAAGATAGGTGGAGGCACAGGGATTGGTCCTGTTGACATGGTCCCTGATGCTACCAGCTGTCCCCTAGCCGGTGTCGCCCACCTGCAGGTCCGGAGCAGCCCCCGCATGTTCTCTCGTGAACATGGGTCTGGCTGCTACGGGGTTCCCCGTATGCCTACAATTAGGAGTCGTGGTAGGTAGGTAGTGTGAGGTGAAATTGAGAGAAGAACATAGCTTTAAACCACCAGTACTTCCTACGCGTTAACGCTACGCGATTTTAGGAAACGTACGGGCCACTACAGGAGCGCCCAAATTCATCCAACTAGAAACGTTTCTACTCTATTTTTTTCCACGGCCGATAGCTGGGCCAAGTAC